GAAAAGCCGTGTGGGGCTAGTAAGGCAGAAAAGGGACTGGTTAAAAACGTTCTCCAGAGTGTGAGAAAATGTTGAGAACTATTTTTGTGGCATGTTTGAATAATAGGGGTTTACCAGACTGCTTGCTGGGGAACCTGAATAGTGAATTTGTTTTGCTTCTGCTTCCCCTGCAGTGTGTGAAATGTGCTCATTTATTTTTTCTCTTGCAGATATTATTCCCCTTGGAGAGAAAAGCACCTTTTCCCACTTGTTGTGTGTCCTGGTTTCGGCTGGGATAGAGTTAATTTTCGTCCTAGTAGCAGGCATAGTGCTGTGTTTTGGATTTAGTAGGAGAAGAATGTTGATAACACCCTGATGTTTTTAGTTGTTGCTAAGTACTGCTTATGCTAGTCAAGGACTTTTCAGCTTCCCATGCTCTGCCAGGTGCACAAGAAACTGGGAGGGGGCACAGCCAGGATAGTTGATCCAAACTGACCAAAGGGCTATTCCATACCATATGGTGTCATGCTCAGTATACAAACTGGGGGGGGTTGGCTGGGGAGCCGCGATTGCTGCTCGGGAACTGTCTGGGTACAGTCATCGGGTGGTGAGCAATTGCATTGTGCATCACTTGCTTTCTATATTATTATTATCATTATTATATTGTCATTATTATCATTACTATTTTACTTCATTTCAATTATTAAACTGTTCTTATCTTAACCCAGGAGTGTTTCTCACTCTTACTCCTCCAACTCTCTCCCCCATCCCATTGGGGTAGGGGGAGTGAGCGAGCGGCTGCGTGGTGCCGAGCTGCTGGCTGGGGCTAAACCACGACATGTGGAAAAGCAGCTTGCCTACCAGGGTGTGCAAGTGCAAGGCAGGCCAACTCTGTCCCTTCCACGCACGTAAGAGCAGGGGGACACATGTCCAAGGCTGCCTTTTTTGAGGGACAAATAAGCAGCAGAGATGCCTAGAGATCGTGATGATGAGTGTGGATGAGGAACCTGCAAAGGAGAGTACGTACTCCTACAAACATGCCCAGCCCTCCTCCTGCTGACAGCAGAGGTGAATAAATGCTCATTGAACTTGGCAGGAAAAGGATTGGATTAATAACTCTCTCTGGCATGAGCAACAAAGAGACTGATACAGAATCGATGTCAAAACCTTAAATCAGAGTGATTTCTCAGGACTAGAACTTGCAAATGCATTGGTTATCTCTGTCTCCAGAATATAAAAGGCTGGTATTTTACAGGCCACGTGAACTTTGCTATTCAGACACAGAGGGATAAAGAGGGTTTTCATGGAGGCAAATGTTTACAACCCTAAATACAACCCAGCGTCCACGCATCTACACCAGAAGCTGCAGCGCTGACCACAAATACAGTGCTGAGACAAGCTGCCAATGCTTTAAGAGGCTGCATAATTCACAAAAGGCACCTGACTCAGAAACAAGGTTACAAGTTTCATTTTCTGTCAAGGCAGTTAAGGCCTGCCTGAGCCTTTCAAATGGACTGGCACTCTGCTTTCCATTGATTGCTCGGTACAAGCACTAATGCCCTTATCCAACTCAGATTACTCATTCGGCTGATGAATCGGGACTTTAGCTAAGCGTCTTTTTCCTCCAGTAGGTCTCTCCCATGACTATTTCTATGCTATTACTGACTCCTATTGCAACGTGTGGGTCTGAACGATATGAGATTTCCTATTTAACCCCTTCTTTCACTTATTTAGTGGCTTGGAGTGAACAATCCCAATGCGATGTAAGTGTGGTAGGAACATCCATGCCTGTGTCCCCAGCCAAATTTCTTAAGCATCAATGAACAGTTCATTTCCCTCTTGGATGCTGTAAATCCTGAGTCAGGCCTGAGTGGCCTGAGTGGCCAAAATGCGATGGCTGCCAGGGGGAATGGGAGGTCTGCTCAGCCCTGGTGTGTTAGGACAAACTCCTGGAAGGTGGTGGATATGTACATGAGCCACATCAGGCTTTGAGGCAAGGAAACCCAGTATTTGAGCCTTACAACTATTATGAACTACTGCTAATTCCACCATCACCCAAGGGACCTTTTGGGTGCCAATCTCTTGCAGTAGTTCTAGGCTATAAATACCAGCCTCACACACCAACCATCAGGTCCATCAGAATGGGGGAAGGAGGTTTTCAGTGCCTGTTTTCTGGGTGGTGCTTCCTCCTGGTGTAGCAGGTGGAGTTTGTGAACCCCATTTCTAG